AATGGCTCAGGTAATAATAGTGAAATAGTACTCCCTCCTATTTTTTTTTTTTAAATGTCATTCTAGCTTTATCAACTATTAACTAAATAAATGTCGTTTTGAATCTTTTGTACATATTTTTCCATTGTTACTCTCATTTAACTAATAAATACATTACGTCTTTTCATATTCTCTCTTCACTTTTTCTCAAAACATTCATCTAAAGATTAAATAAGGTTATTATTGACAAAAAAAAATATATTTTTAATAAATGTGCAACGTCCCAAAACGACATTTATTTAAAATAGGAGGTAGTACTCAATTTAGCTCAAATCATTTTAGGCACATCCAGTGCTATTTGATCATTTCGGCGCATAACACAATGTTAGTTGCTCTAATTACTCTCTTTTTTCAGCATTTATGAAAGCATTCAATGGTTGCAATATTAGAAATCGTACGTCACCAAAAGGTTCTTTTTCACAATATTAGCTGTTTTCCAACACTCGCATTTACACACACATGATGAAAAGCAAAAGGCCAATCTGTATGTGACTGTGAAATCATTCAATTCAGTACACATGTTTATTATCGAAAACAATTTTTTATTTTATTTTATTTTAATTAATTAATTAGTTTATTCATTTATTATTATTATTATTATTCTTATTATTATTATTATTATTATTATTATTATTATTATTATTATTATTATTATTGTGTGTGTGTGTGTGGAGGGGACTTCAACATTAAATGCCTATTTATTCTACTGTGCAAGCTTGCTTTGGTCCCTTCTTAATTCTGGAAGAAAGGAGAATGAATTAGTGCCAAAAGAGGGCACATAAATTGAAGATAATTCAATTAGAATGATCATTATGTTCCAACTAAATACTATTTGTACCAAATTAAATTATGTTGTCTTCCATAATTTATGGGGTAGTTAGAAATCTACATTTGGGAGCTAATAATTCTTTAAAAAAATATATATATATATATAAGCTAAACAAAACATGTACCTTAACTGCACTTATTTTATTTTGTTATTGAAAGCGTAATTATTAGTTAGATAGTCACATTTTGCAGTGCATAAGATTGCATTTTTGTTAAAATAGTATGAGGTGCCCACTCGATCTAACGATTATCTCGTCTCACATAAGAGTTTGTGCAAGTTATATAGAGTATGACTCAAAAAAAAATAACTATGTGTGACATTGTTATAATTATTATTATTACTATTTGTTGGTATGACTCATATATTGACAAAGGAAGGAGACATGCTAATTATATAGAGTATGACAAAAGAAAGAGGCAGACTGATGCCTTCGAGCATATACAAATCTATCATTTAATTTAAAATGCATATACAATATAATAATGCGAAATGCATAGTTAATGAATTAATCTAAAGGGATCAAATATGTATTGTCATCATCTCTCATACACTGTAACCAAACTTACTACACACATACATACATGTCCACGTGGACAAAATTTCCACGTAACCCAAATTATTTTATTCAACAAAAATTTGTGAATAGTTACACGTATACATGTATTTATCAGAATTCCAGAATTAAAAAATCAAAAAATTGTCATTTTGAATTTTCGTGGGGTGGTTGCTCGGCCACGCGTCCTTATTCCTCTTTTCTTCACAATTTTTCTCAATTTTACTGTCTTCGTCAGCTGTGAACACCTCCTTGACGTAGCTCTCCACGTCAATTTCTTTATTTCCATCTATGCCCTCAACGTCCGTTACCTCAGGAATAAACGGCGGCCGGGACATTTCCGTAATTCCATCCCAATCCACGCCCCTGAAGAAATCATGGCCCTTGATCTCCCCGGCGTCGGAGATCCTTCTCGCCGGGTCCTTCTCGAGCAGTTTTCCGATCAGGTCCCTCAACGGCGTTGCCTCCCCCGTCAGATCCGGCGCCTTGGTAATGATCCGGTAGAAGGTCTCCTTCCGGTTGGCGCCGCGAAACGGCGTCGTTCCGTATAGCATCTCGTAGAGCATGACGCCCAGACACCACCAGTCAACGGCGAAGTCGTGGCCGTCGCCGAGGACGATCTCCGGCGCCACATATTCCTCCGTGCCGACGAACGAGTTCGATTTTTGGACCGACTCGGAATCGGAGCTCGGCGAGCTGGGTCCGAGTTCCGATCGCCGGGCTGAGTCAACCGGGGAGATCTCCGAGTCGCGCCGCTTGAACAGAAAACCGAATCTCCTCTTTTTTTTCTTCTTCTTCAGCGCGGTTATTTGAGACGCCGGCGTGGACGGCGCCGGACGAGTTTCCGGCGATTTTTGGGGGAGCTTGGTCGACAGATCGAAATCCACCAGCATCAGGTGGCCGTTCTCCCGAACCATCACGTTTTCCGGCTTCAAATCACGGTAAACGATGCCGGAATTGTGGAGATACTCCAACGCGAGCACCAACTCCGCCGCGTAGAATCTGAAACAAAAAACCCAATGCAGCAAAATTTTCATGAGCTTTTTTTCCCCCAAACTCACTAATTCGATTTTATTTTCCAAAATTTTATCGCACAATTCGTCAAAATTGAAGAAAGTAAACGGAGAAAATCTGCAATTCACCTGATGATATCGTCGGAGAACATCTTCTCCGTCTGCTTCTTCCTGAGAAAATTCAGATCGCGGCCGGAGCAGTAATCGATAGCGTACCCAACCACCTCATCAGTCATCAGAACTCCGTGGAGCCTCGGCAGCAGGGGATGGAGGAACGAGGACAGAACCTCCCTCTCGAAGCAGATCCTCCTGTACTCGCCGCCGCCGCCGCTCGCGATCCTCTTCTTCTTCTTATTCTCGATCGAAGATCTCAAAATCGCCTTGAGCGCAAGCAGCTCGCCGCCATCGGTCCGGACGAGGAAGACAACGCCCTTCGCGCCGCGGCCGAGAACAGAGATCACCTTCAGGCTCTTCAGATCGAGGTAGGGCGTACCGTCGCCGTCGCGGTCGGTGCACTGGCGAAGTCCGTCGTGCATGGCGGAGGTCTCCGGCTAGCAGCTGCCTCAAAACGTAGTTATTGTTGAACGCCTCTGCAGAGTTCTATATAAATTCAGTGCAGTTGTTGTTGGTGAGTGATTTTTATTTTCTACTCAGGTTGGCTTTTGTTTATCGTTTTTTGTTTTCTTTTTAGGGGAAAATGAATTTCATTTTCGCTTTATATATGTGTGACCGATGTGGGATTTACGTGCTGGTGAAGGATTTTGGAGTGGGAAAGGGGAAATTCCAAACTGCCAGAGTTTATGCGCTCTAAGGCTAAGCGACGTCGTTTAGGCGGTGTGTGTGTGTGTGTGTGTGTGTGTGTGAGAGTTTCTTCTTCTAGAAGCAGGTGACAAAATTGACCTCTGTTTTTTATTCTTTTTATTTATTTATTTATTTATTTAAAAAAAAAAATATTGTCTCTTTTGACTTTACAGTTTGCTGTTAATTTGTTTAATTTTTAGTCTGGTCGTCATTACTTCTGGACTTTATTTGTTTATTAGGATAAATTTCATGGTAACCCGTGGCCGTGGACAAGTTTTAGCCGTTGAATTACATAAAATCACATGTATATATGTGTGAGTGTACGAATCTTGATGAGCAGCAATGAGTTTGGAATCGGGTTCAACACGAAGCTTCCAAGCACATCTATCAGCTTGATGCGATGCTCTGACAATCTACAAAGTATCGGAATAAACACTTCGACGCTCAAGTTAGAATTTACTTAAAGGAGTATGAGAAAATTGTAAAAGTAATCTAAGTGTTTTTAAATATTTAGGGGGTGATTGGATATGAATTCAATTAGTAAAAAACTAGTTTATTTTTAACTGTAGTTAAGTTTGAAAAAAAAGTAGTATGATTAGTTGTTAGTGAATATATTAAAATAATATTTAAATTAAAATAATTAAAGTTGATTTGATGTAAAAGTAGGATAAAATGATTGGAAGTGATGGTTAGTTAAAATTATGTGAGTGGATGAATAGTGAATTAAAGTTGATGTGATGTGTAATAATGATTGGTTGATATTATTTAATTATATTGATGATATTGGAGATAGTAGAGTTGAGTTAAAGTTGAGTTAAATTTGAATTTTGAGTGAGATATATACTATAAAAAATGTAAACAATCACGCCCTTAGAGAACTTGACCTTCAAGATAATCCTAATTAGAATAAAGATACTTCCGAATACTTTTAATTATAACCAACCACGTCACTGAAATCTTTAAGACTTTTAGGTAAGATATACTTCTCATCCATGAAGGATTCTCTCGTACGTCAAGCCACACGACTCTTTGGTTTCTAGGTCGTAGCCACGACTTCCGTACCTTCCTGTCGCAAGCGGTACCCAACTTGCAACCACGACCTAAAGGTCTTGAGGTCACATCGTATATCTGAGCTCCTTAGTTTTTTAGACATGTGAGCTACCTAATTCGGCTATACTTGTATCTCGAGTTGATTGAGCGAACTCCTTGACTCCCCTGTACACTGGGATCGAACTGAGCTCACCTAAATCGGCCTCTACCATGCTGGTCTTTCTTGGTCGGTTGACCAAGTTGTTACAGGTGCTATATCAAATCCGACCCAAAAATTCTTGTAAAGACACTAAAGGGAAGTCGGAAATAGGGTGAAATATTTGGATTATTATAGTACAATGTTGTTGCTTTATTGCCTTTCTTGCTTTTCGCGTAAGATCAGTAAGATTACTCTAATGCACATCTTATGGTTAACTAGTTATACTTTTTTTAGCGCAAATGTATATTTTCGAATTAAATTGTTATACTACAAAATAAAACATGAATAAAAGTATAATAATTTACAATACAAGTACGTATTTTGTATTAAAAAAAAGTACGACATGTTGATGCATCTAATGGTTTGGCCGCTTCATGTTATAATTTGTGTTTGCGTAAATATGTTCGATAATTAATTTCGTATTATCGTATATTGACTAAAACTTTTCTCTCTCTATTTTACATATTCTTCTAATAGTTGTCCAAGTTGGAAAGAGAAAACAGTAAGGCGAAGTATAATACTAGTAAAAAGGAGGAAAGATGTACAATAATACAATAACAAAAATATTTAAAAACTATATTTATTAAAATTTGATGTGATAAATTGTACAATTATTTTTTTTTCGGTACAAATAAATTGTACAATTATTAACCCGTAAGAATCATAATTATTTAAATTGCATGATACTTGATATTGATTTATCACATTAATCAACTTTTGCAGTTAACAGTTGGTTGTTTGATGGAAAATAGAGGTCATAAATTAATAATTAAATAAATAAATAAATACGTAAATAGTTTATCACGCTTTTGCTGCGTAGCACGTGTCTATGTTACATAGAGCACAACTATATTACGGCGCCAACTTTTTAAATACAAATATTATTATTTATTTATATCTATAGATGATAATATTAATTTAATTTTTCAAATATATCTAGGCCATAGCCCACGAACTACTTTGGCTACTAACCAAATTGGACGGCATTATTATTTAATAAATTCAACTTTTCATTTTTTATTCTTCATATGTTGACTTAATTTTATTAATTAAGTAATTAAGAAGTGATTCAAGGCACATTTCTTGAAAACTTGGGTTTTGAATAATTTTAGGCTTGATTGTTTATGAAATAATTTGTTTAAATTGAGTTATTTTGGTTAATTATAGTTAATTTTGAAAAAGGTAGTATGGTTAGTTGTAGTGGAATTTTAAGAATGTATATATTGAAATCTAAATCGATTTAGCCACTCTTTCACTGAATACAAGCTAGCTCAGTGTGAGCATGTAATTGAACTCGTTCATTAAGCTAGTTGAGTTCGAACCAACTCGCAACCAAATAGTTTTTTATAAAAATTACGAAGTTTAAATGGAATAGCCGATCTAACATTTATGTGAATGAAGATTTCGTATTCACAAACACTTTGTGTAGAGTTTTGGAATATTTATGAAACTAATTGAGCCAAGTTGACCGAAATTTCACAAACTTACACGAGTCGAGCTGAAACAAAATTTTATTTTCATTTATTAAGAAAGTCGAATCGACATGATTCTTTCATTAAACGAACATGAGTTCGGACATGAGTTAACTAATTCAACTCGACTCCAATAACACCCAAATACTAATGTGTTTTGTTTATGAACTCAATTTGAGTACATGTGCCATATTAAAGGTTATTCTTAATTAGTTTGAAAACATGACGAATGGTGTGTGTAGTCAACTTTCACTATTATTGACAACTTTAAGTCGCGTGTTACACAAAATTAAGCAAGTTATTAAGCAAGTTTATATGTCTTACTGTAGAAAGAACTTTAGTTAAAGCTAAAATTACATGAAATTTAATCCAATCAATTATTTCTTCCACAATTTTCTGAACATCTTCTTTAGTTTCAAGCTCAGTGGGTGTTGGTGTATTACAGAAAAGCTCCTAAAATGTTCATGGGCTTTCTTCGGAATTTAGTAATGTCTGTGAATGGTTCGTAAAGGCCCAATGCCAATCAGGCCTTCTATTAAGGTTCTGTTAATTGGGCTCAAAGCCTCAAACAAAGGCATTGGACTTATAATTCACTATTTTGTAATTAGGTGAGAAAAATTGAGGCCAACAATGCAAATTTATTGTTCTTCGGTTCGGTTATATTAGTACAGAAATTTTTTGTTGTTTGGTACCGTTCAATATCATTATATGTTGCGATGCGGTTCGGTAAGTTTTCGTACAAGTTCAGTCTTCAGCTTCTTTTGGTTAATTGTGACTTTGCACGAACCAAGTCCAAATGCACATAAAACTCGAGTCAGACCGTGCAATGTGATGTTGTTCGGTAGTTTTTTTTTTCAGCTGTAGAATGTTTCCAATTCGACTTTTTTTTTTCTTTTGTGTATTGCGATACTGTTTGGTTTGAAATTTTTTAATTTCTATTTATATATCTTAATTAAAGTGCATTAGATGTATGAATATGATGCATAATTGAAAAATAAACTCTTCCTTTTTCTTTGGGTAAGAATAAACTATTAAAGGAGTTGAAAATTCTTAGATGTCTAGTCAAAAGTGTGGGCTCATTTTTACATATAGGGTTCAAATGGGATCATACACTGTGTTTTGAGCAACTTTTGGCATGAAAGAGGTTCAACATTTCCTTGTGATCACATCAATTATGCACATCAAATATGGATACAAAACGTTGGAGGTTAAGGTGGTGTGTCCCCATTTATGGAGGTACTATTACAAGAATCAAATTCTAGAATAACACATGGTAGTCCCCTTTTCCCT